CCACCATGGCAGCAAAGGTATGTGGTAGAGGAAATTGTTCACCTTTTGTTGACCAGAAAATAGAGGCAGGAGAAAGAAGGAAGGGTCCAAGGACCTATGCCCCTAGTGATCTTCCACCTTTTTCCTACATCCTAGTTTGCAGCACCTCCCCAAATAGTACCCCCACCTGGGGACCAAATATTCAAACAGGAGGGGGTGGGGAACATTGCATGTCCAAACCATAGCAGAAGCGCTCGTTGCCTATTGCCAAGTGATGTCAATGCTGCTTCAGGATTCTGCTGGCCAGAAGACCATTTGATGCAATGTCTTGCCCTTCAGCCTCCAGGTTCATAAGCCAAACTGATACAGACTTCACTCAAATGAGTTCTGTCAGTGGCAACAGAATTGCACCCCATCTTCATGTGATTGCTTAATTATTGATAATTGAAGCAAAAATGTGGACACTGGGGGTGATGAAGGGGATGAGTGGGCGGGGTATGACTAATGGAGCTTGGTGAATTTGATTGGAATACACCATGTACATGTAAGAGATTAATGAAACATAATAGATGCTAATAAAAAGTTTAAATTGTGTGTGTGTGTGTGTGTACATGCAAGCATGTGAGGCAGTCAGAGGGCATCTTTCAGGACTAAGTTCTCTCACTGTGGTCATGGGGAATGAACTTGGGCCATCTAGCTTGGTGTTTGGTGCCTTTACCTGCTGAACCACCTCACTGACCAAAAATGTTAAAAAAAAAAAAAAATTAACACCGAGTAGTTGTTCCTATGGAAAATAGTTACAGTTATAGTTAAAGGGCAGTTAAATCGAGCTTTTTGTCCTGCATGTGGGCAAACGCTAACATTGGTAGGCAGCTCCATCACTCGTGAACACGGTGATATGTAGAGTGGCCCCTAACAGTGGTGATCGGCCCAAAGACATTACAAAGTAGAACTCTAGAAAGTGCTGGCTGTGTGATGTTCTGCTCCAAGCTGAAACTTGAAATGTAAGAATGTAGTGGACAATGGGCAAGGATGGGAAAGGTGCGTCATGGAAACATGAAAATAACCAGGAGGGGGCTGGTGAGATGGTGCAGTGGGCAGAAGTACTTGTCATGCAAAACTGATGGCTTGAGTTTGATCCCTGAAACTAACACAAAAGGCTGGATGTGATACCATGCATCTATAACCCTAGGGATAAAATGGGAAGTAGAGACAGGAGAGTCAGCTGGAAACTCCCGGACCAGCTACAGTGGAGTACACAACACAGAAACAGACCAGAAAGGTGCTGCCTTCACAAGGTTGAAAGCAAGAACTGGCGCCTGAAAGTTGTTCTCTGACTTTCATAGGTGTGGATACACACACACAAACCAGGAGTGACTGGTTGTACCAGCAACAACCAGAAATGTTTTTGTCCATGTCACCATGACTGTCATCTTAAGGGCACTTAAGGGCACTCTTAGCCACTGAGCCATCTCTCCAGGCCTGTCCCAGATGGTTTTGCTGACAGGAAGTTCAAATATGGGGACTGGAGAGATGGCACAGAGGTTAGGAGCACTGGCTTCTCTTCCAGAGGTCCTGAGTTCAATTCCCAGCAACCACATGATGGTTCACAACCATCTATAATGAGATATGGTGCCCTCTTATGGGCAGAACACTGTATACATAATAAATACATCTCTCTCTCTCTCTCTCTCTCTCTCTCTCTCTCTCTCTCTCTCTCT